ACTCTTTAAATAAGATGATATTTAACCTAAAACATGCGCCCCGAGTATTTTTCGATAAATCAACATAGACGTCGTTTCGTACTGTTTTCAATAACATTAATTTTTAACGGCGTTTTTCTTCGGTCCACCTACCGTTAGGTTACAATTCATCTCGAATTACAGACTTATCCGCGTAATAGGAGAGTCTTGAGAGTTTAAAGAGGGTCGATCCCCGAAAAATCTGGGTCGATTTTCGAATATCTCCGAATAAAGATCTTATCGTCTTTATGGCGATGGTGTGAAAATTCTCCTTCCTTTGAATAAGAAATTTTACAAAGCCACTCGTCCATTGCTCAAACTCGCACTCGCATCCTATATTATTTTTGTCGCACGCGCCAACGTTTTTAGTCCAGGGATTTTGATTTCTTTTTATTTTATGCTTCCCAGAATATCCAAGTCCGGTGCTCCTGCAATTTTGTGAATAATTAACCAAATAGCATCTTAATATGTTTTTTTTTGTTTTGTTTTTTGTTTTGTTTTTTTGTTTTTTTTTTGTTTTGTTTTGTTTTTTTTTTTTTTGTTATTCGTGTCGATAGTGGTTAATTTTATTTTGAAAGTATACCTATCGTATAGGCCGGAGATATAATAAAATTACTATGTTTTTAAAGATATTTAAATTTAGAAAGATATTTCTTTCATCGATCATATTAAATTGGATAATATTTTTCTTAAATGGTATAAGCCATATGATTACCCTACTTTATATAATTCTAAAATTCCTTATTTATAAAATTTAGTTTATTCCGTATACTATAAATCAGATTGAAATACTTATTGTACATCCAACCTAGAAGATATTGTATACTCTTATTAATACGATCTTCTCTCAGTTCAATAATTTTACATTAGCATATTATTTTATTTCTCAAATTACTTATTACCAATGTGCAATAAACAAATTCGTCATTTAATACAATCGTACGGCGATAATCAATGGTATAATTAATAAAATAAACGAGGTGTTGAAATATAATTAAGCAGCAGCTCCGCATCGACTCTTCTTAACCTTATACCGGCTGTAACCCACTTTCAAATCAAAATCTTGTCAAATCCCCCATCATGGAAAATGATTTGATCCAACCGCGTATATCCATATTTCGATATAGGAGGAAATAAAAAAGTAAAATCTTGGACTCTCCAAACTCGTTTTTGTAGTTCAAGCTGTCATGTTTTTCTTCATTTTTTACGTCATGCTGTGGGCTCACAGATAGAGAGGGAGGGAGAGAGAGAGAGAGAGAGAGAGAGAGAGAGAGAGAGAGAGAGAGAGAGAGAATGAGCTGACGTTTCTGGTGAGTGGAACGTCGTACGAATGTATTACGGTAATCCAAGTGCACGAGGCATGGGACAAATATATTGGAAAATTCGATTCGTTTATGATGCACGTAGTTAGTTGTCCAACAACGAAAGTTTATTGCTGACGATGAATGGCGAGGACGACGAGGATGACGACAACAACGATACTCTTGTCATTTTTACCTGTAGGGTTTGAATGATAGGAAATTGCTTTCTGTTCTTACCGAAGCTATTTTCTTCCAATGCGATAATATCATTGTAGTTTAATTTTTTTTTTTTTTTTTTTTTTTTTTTTTTAATTTAAAAAAAATATAATTACATAGAATCTTTATAAACTTATTAAGAGCGCTTAATAACAATATTCCAACATATTTTAACATGGTTATTAATTTTACATTTGAATATTAACATTTTTAAGATGATTGAGTTGTCGAAATCATCATGAAATCTTAAAGTTTTGATGAAAAATATTATATTTATTACATTACGTGACGAATTGTAATTCTTTATTTATTTCATGAAATTATCTATGAAATCTAATTAATCTAACGTAGGCCATGATAAATAATTGCTTGTAAAAATACATGAAAAAGTTAAGAAAATTAAGAAAAAAGATCGTCGTGTTGCAGAAAATTAAATGAAAATTTATGTAATTTGAAAGGAACGAGGGGTGATAAAAAAAAAAAAAAAAAAAAAAACAATGCTTCACGTATTTAAATATATCTATATCTAAATATATTTATAAAGATTATTCGAAGCTAAAAGTGGATCAGCTAATGTGGTGACAAATAATATTTTTCAATTATCTTCCTTAGTACAATCCTGAAATACCTAAATTATATATTTTAAATGCTCGAATCATTTACATTACAAGTAACTAAGATTTCGCAATATTTGTGATGTGTCAGTAATTTTGCTATGATTTTGTCGTCGAACGTTACTTTTATTTCCCATTCCTTCCTGATTTCATTGTTAAATCTACATTAAAAGCTTATTTCCTTTAATAAATATGGAAATTTATTATTATACCGTCTTCAAGCCTGTTACTATAAGACATGGTTAGGTATTTTGAGTGTTTTTCGCACCAACACGAACGAAGCGATGAGCAATATTTTTATTCTATATTTGAATTTATTCACAATATTTAATATTATGTTACATTGGCACAATTTTAGCTTCGCGTTGATATTTAGTAAGTTACACATTTCAAAAATACATTATCGTTGCTCAATAATCTTCAAAGTCACGGAAACAACGGAATTAAAAATAGGAAAAGGCAATTTTTGCGTATTTAACGGTACAAGCTAAAAAGGTACATTCCGAGGGGACAATGAATTGCATCATGGAGGAACGAAAAGAAGGCTCTGGTACCGGCTTCACCTACTTTCTGGATGTTTTTGGGAATGCTCTGTCAGTAGATATAATTTACAGCCTGCCCTCTTTTTTCGAAAGTGGTAAGAGATAGACGGCAGGCATTCGAGCTCCGACGCGATCTTCGCAAAAATCCGCATTTGCCCTCTCAGCACTGTTTTGTATATTCAAT